CCCCTCACCCCACTCGTGCACTCTCTCTCGCCCTCTCAAAAATAAATAAATAAAATCTTTAAAAAAAAAAGAACAGAAACTAAGAGCCTAAGCTCTTAACAAGAAGGCCATAGTTAGGGGGAGGAGGCAAGGGAGAAGCAGACAAGATTCCACAGGCAAGGATAAGAAATGAGAGATTGGGCTGGTTTGTGGTGTGTAGACTAGACAGTGGGGCTAGAAATGGGTGAGGAGGATAATTAGGACACTTCCATGTTTGCTATTCAAGAATGGCCCTTTGTGGTTTTGCCAGGAACTTTCCAAGGTTTGTTTGGTTTCTGTATGTATGGGTTCCTTTTGCATGTCACCTTTTATGAAGACCGGCCCAAGGCAGCTCGCTTCCTGTGGTCCGTACATGTGTATTCTGTGTGTTCCATCAATATCACGATTTGGTGAAAAGATCACTTTCGTGTCACACTAACTTGGGTTTGAATCCTGGCTCAGCTCTTTCTAGCTGTTTGGCCTTGGGCAGATTGCTTACTTTCTCTGAGTGCTGGTTTTCTCATCTGTAAAGAAACGGTAATCTTCTGGCCTTGTGTGGTTGTTGGGAGGCTCAGGGACCAGACAGAGGCCCAGTGCCTGATACATGGTTTGGATGTGTGATAAATAATGCTATTATTGCCCAAACATAGCTCATGACTTCATACACCAACATTAACTGAGCACCTACTCTATGCGAGGCATATTCATTCTTATCGAATCCTCAGCAACACTGTGAGGTAAGTGTTTGAGGAAGACAGTTAAGAGTTCACTGAATCTTACCCCTCTCCTTCTTGAGCCCACGGAGAGCCACATTTCCTAATTTTCTTGTACTTTGTAGTGTCCATGTGACTACTTTCTGGACAGTGGATGAGGGCAGACGTGAAACGCATCACTTCCGGGCTAGGCTCCTATATATTACATCTCTCATGGGCCTCCACACTCTCTCTTTTCGCCCACTGACTGGAGGCTACGTTCCTCAAGGCCCCACGGAAGGAAACCGGATGACTGAGTTAGTGTGTAGGAGTCCATGTGCCAAACATCCACTTCTGACTATTTTATGAGCGAGAAATAAACATCCATTTTGTTGTTTATTACAGAAATTAGACCACTTTGATTATTCTACTATTTTTACCCACATTTGAAAGATGATGGAAAAGAGTCTCTGGAAGGTGAAGTGACTTGCCCAGGGTTGTGCAGGCAGATGGTGCAAAGCCAGGATTCCAACTCCAGAACATATCCAAGATGTAACTGATACCGTTTTCCTCTTTGTCGGCTTTCAGTAAGTATTTGTTGAATGGATGCAATTAAGAGTCTTGATTCCCTAGGCTTAATGTTAAGAACCTAGGGGAAAAGTAGCTTAAAGATAAATTGCAGAGTGTCCAAAAAAAAAAAGAAGAAGGAAAAAGAAAAATCAAGATGTATGGATCTCCTTCACTATATTGTAAGTTTCTGGAAGTCATATGCTTTATTGTACTCACTTTTTAAAAGATTTTAGTTAATTAATTAATTAATTAAGAGGGAGTGGGAGTGGGGAAGGGGCAGAGGGAGAAGGAGAGAGAGAATCTGAAGCAGACTCCGTGCTGAGCGCGGAGCCCAACGTGGGGCTTGATCTCAAGACTTTGAGATCAAGACCCGAGCCAAAATCAAGAGTCGGACACTTAATCGACTAAGCTACCCAGGTGCCCCTTTACTGTACTCATTTTAAAATATTTCCCAGCCCCTGTCCCAGTGCTTGGTACGTTGTGGGTGCTCAAACATGGCTGCTCAATTGTCCTGTCACAAACAGCACAACCTGGGTATTCCCCCAGCTTCTTCAGATGGTGGAGAAATACCTTCTTCAGATGGTGGAGAATACCTTGGGTATTCCCCCAGCTTCTTCAGATGGTGGAGAAATGGTCCTTCTTGCAGAATACCATGAAATAGTGACAAACTAATTTTAAAATGAGTAAATATATAATTTTGTGCAAAAATCACCTACCATCTTGTACTCTACCATAAAAAGTGGAAGCAGGTACTAAAGTTCAGGGAAATGCACTGGAGAATAATTTCCAATAAAGGCAAGTCTTCCCATTAACCCTTCCCTCCATGAATTAGCCTACAACTACCAGTCCTCCACAACTGAATTTTAGAAGAGGTGGGTCCATTTTGTGGAAGTGTTCCATGGGAGCATGATTTGAAAACCACTAGATGAGTTGGTTAGAATAGGAGGGGCCCATTTATTAATGGACAAAATTTCTGTTTTCATACTTGCTAGTTAGCTGCTTAATACCAACTAGTGGCCTCCCCAGAGCAAGACAACAGGACTGTGTGTGAGCATTTTTGTATTAGCTTCATTTCTATCTCTCCTTTATGCTCTTCTCCTTGGTTTTCTTTTTCTTAGATCTTTTAATTTATGCTACCTTGCCATATTTTATGTGTCTTTGTAAGCCACCTTAAATCCTTTCTGGAAGAAGGTGGTGGTATAAATAAAAACATATAACCTAAATATAAAATGTAACAAGCTCTATAAAAACCCATTCCTAAAATACCAACAGTGGTCAAGTTTATCATACAGAGAAATAAGATAATTAGAGGTATGTTGTGGGTGAAGGGGGGAGGAGTTGTGTATCCAAAGGGGCAGATCTATGTGATTATATGAAGCCCAAGGTATGGCATTACAAATGACTTTAATAAATAGTGTGAAGATTAAAAATTAGTTTTATTTTATTACTTTTATAGATATTTCTATACTTTATACATTTATTATTTACTTCTGTAATAGTTCTTCAGGATAGAGATTGAGAAAATACAAATAAACAGCAAGAACATTAAAGCTACTGATAGCCTACTACTCAAGAGATCATCACCACCTTGCATCTTCTTTTTTTTTTTTTTAAAGATTTTATTTATTTATTTGAGAGAGAGAATGAGA